GACTGTGCACAAGCCCAGACCCCTGGCTCGAGGCAACGATGTGCCAAAGAAGCCTCCACCGCCTCCGCCTCCGCCTCCGACTCCACTCCAGCCAGGCCAGCCTGGGCAACGTGCTCCCAAGACACCCCAGAGGAAGGCCCCGCCACCAGAAGGCGTCGGCAGACCTCCTCCAGGAGAGTTACCGCCGCCGATCGCTCCCAACGTGTATCCTGGCCAGGTCGTGGGCGACAACAGGGTTCCACCACCGCCACCACGGCATGCGCCGCCACCAGTGGGAGCTGTACCTGGACAAGGTATTGCCAAGGCTTCGCCGCCTGTTCCGCCGCTCCCCCCAGGACCTCCACCGGCACACACTCCCATCGCTTCGGCCCCCCCGCACGTGCAGCGAGAGATCGCAGCAGAGCAGCGGGAGACCGCCGCGCCGAGAGATACAGCCGTGGAAGAAGTCTCCGAGGGAGTTGAGGGCCTCACGTTAGACCCACACAACGCGGCCGCGGCTGCTGCCCAGAAGGCCACCGAGAGGGAAGCCGCCCTTGCTAAGTCCGAGGCCGCGCTGCTGAGGACACAGAGTAGACTCGCTGATGCAATCAATGCCTTAACAGCGGCTAGAAAGGCCGTCGGGTTGGTTAACATCCGCCCTGTGGCACCTCCGATCCGAGCACATCGTGACGAGTCTGGCGACACATCCGCCCCTGACGTCTCTATACCAACTGTTATGCAGCGGGAAACCGCAGCTTCGCAGTTGACAACAGACCAGGAGCGCGAGCGTAATCGTCAGATTCACGAGCGTTACGACCAATGGTTTCTACAGGCTGCCACTGAGGGCCGCGTTAGCCACATCACGTCAGCCTGGCCGCCCATGGGTCCCCACGAGACCTATCGGATTGGAGACTACGTTCAAACAAGACAAGCTTGCTACTTTTACTCTCACCCGCCATCGAAACACTCAGATGGTTCCTGGGTTGGCGAGCGCGTTAGCCCTCATGAAGGCGAACCAATGGGATCCCTATTCGGACCCATTCGCGAGGTAGGCCAGTTCATGGGATACGTGACCGTGAAAATCGGAGATCACTGGATGAACGTTTGGGATGGCACGAAGGGCATGCTGGCGGGCAACACGCTTGCCCGCGTTGTACCTTGCCCAGACTTTGACGCCAACTCACTCCCAGATGACCTTCGCTTCGGTCCCCCAGTTAACTTTCCACCCCGTCATGCGATCATGACGCCGACCAGTGACGTCAGGGCTGTGGGAGATCTTCGTGCTCCACTGCGCCAGAGGCATACAGACGCCTCTAGTGCAGCGGGACACCGCAGCGCCCCCAGTCAACAGCCCCCAGAGGTTGAGGAGGTCGCCGACATAGATGCTCGTGAAGCTGAGCCAGGTGAATTGCTTAAATTGATCAGGAGCCCTCAGTCTTTGGACGTGCCCACTGACGATGTACCTCCGGCCCAGTCATCGCCGACAGTCGTACCAGAACCGACACCAATGGCAGTTGACCCTCCGTCGCCGACTATCACTCCACACTCGCCCGACTATCCTCCGCCGGCAGCGGAGGATCACCCTCTGGCGGCAGACGATCACAGTTCACCTACAGAGATGCCGGTCCCCACACAGGACCAGAGCTCGCCGACCGAAATCCCTGTACCAACGGATTTTCCAGAGGAAAGTTATGATGACGGCGCAGCGGGAAATCGCAGCAATGGTGACACTGTGCTACATGTTCCAGAACATGCTGATGATGACTTCCTCAAGAAGGATGACTGGTCCCCAGAGCTGAATGATATCCGCAATGAAATCGAAACAATGGAGGATAACGCGGAGAAAACTCTCACATATGGACCAGATCAGTCCGACCTACCAGACTATTTCAAAGCAGTCAAGAAAGTCCACATTGTTCGTAGATCTGGGCATCACGGTGTCGTTAACACCAAAGTGAAGCAGACCATGGAGTACACCGTTGTCTTGAACATGGACGATATCGCAAATACAACAATGACCTTCGAGTTCAACTGCGATGCACCATGGTGTCACCGTTTCCCAGACCAATGTGGACACAGAGCTTTCACAAAGTACCTTTTCCAGTGCATTGGTACTTTCCGATACAGAACCCTGGCATACGGCAGACGTTCATGGTGCGCCATGGCATACTTGAACCTCTACCAGCAGGCTGGCGACAAATTTGCACTCATCGACATTGAGAACGCCGAGGTTGTGCAGAATCATCCTGGCCTTGCTGCACTCCGCATGGGCACAGAGACCTATGTGGAGGATGAGTTCGTGAATGAGGCGCCCCACGACGGAAAGATTTCCACATTGGCTACGAAGCAAGGGGAAACCCTAGCATCGCAAGACAATGTGGAGGCTACCAAAACCGTTATTGAATCTGTCGTTGGTTCACAGTTATCACAACGCACACTCGCCACTCAAGTTCTCCAAGATGCATACCAGGCTGTCGCTGCTTCCGCCTCCGCCGAGTCTCAGGGTGCAGCGGGAAACCGCAGCGACCTTGACAAGATCTTGGACGAAGACGACGAGAAGATCTTTGCCCCACTTGAACCTGATCACCTCGATCGGGCCCGCCAAATCGTCTCTGCGCCAGGTGGGAGCGTATCTCAGGAGAATTTCGCGACCCTGCTCGCAGGGGTCGTTCAGTTCGACGAGAGCACAGGACTGGCACCTCCAGAGCTACAGACTCGCATCCCGTCTTGCGCAATTTGCAACGCTCGGATGCCAGCTGATTTGGACACGCCTGGGGCCACTCTGAAATGTGCCTTTTGCATGAGGTACGAGAACTCCAAATGGCCGGACGAAGTTGCGGCCTGGCGAGAACAGTTCGTTGCGTTTGCCGCCACTCAGCCGGATGACGTCGCCCAGCGCATCACAGCTGCCCCCATTGATACGCGTGGCTCGAAGAAGCCACAGACAGACGCTAAAGACGAGCTTCAAAACATGGGGAAGAAAGCTGACAAACGGCATCAGAAGTGGCTAGCTTGGAATTCTCCATCTCGGGAGGAGTGCGACAAGCTACGTGCAGACGCCGACGCGGACGGCATCCCGCCTGAGAATCCAAATTATCCTCCCATGTATCATCCATACATGTCTCTAGCACAGCGCTTTGCGGAGGATGATGAGTTTCGTGAGCAGATGACAACAGTTCGGACTCAGGCTGGTAGGGTTGCATGGACGTTAGAAGTTGCCACTGAGGCCGATCGCCTCTGGCAGGCCTCCAAAAAGAGGAAAGAGGTCGGAGCGCCGAACCTTGGAGCCGAAACACTTCGTGAACGTTTTCAGCGCAACCACCTTACCGTTCACGTCCCGGGCGAATCTCTCCGCGGTGCCATCACCGCCGCAGAAATTCGTGCACACCCACAGTCTTTGACTGGGTCCCGGGACGAGATCCGATCCGGTGTTAAGCGAGAGCGCGAAGAATACTACTCTCAGCTTCAGGAGACCGCCAGTGCAGCGGGAAACCGCAGCGGCAACGCTCCAGGAAGCAGTAGTGGGGGTGACTTTAGGGGGAGCGGGACCGATCCAACCCCCCAGCCACCACCACACACATCCGAGTATCGTACTTCTTCCGGCGCGTTCGACAGCCATGGCCATACCGCCTCCGCTGCCAGATATGCGCCTGCGCGTCCCGATGATGGACCACCTCTGGCAAAGCGCCCCGCCATTTCGAATGTGACCCACGGGTACAGTGCTGAATACGGTGCCCACTATTATGACAGGCAAATTGCACCGTATGACCGCCAGTGGTACGACCATTGGGGCGAGTTCATCTGGATCAAAGCGTGGGATCCGTTCGCCAATAATGGATGGGGCGCGACTGCATGGAATAAGAAGTACACATCGGGGAAATATACGGGCAGATCATGGCGCTGGGACCCTCCACGCTGACGCACCAGGAAACTGGTTGCCATGCCGCCCATAAGATTTTGAATGGCTTCCAACTTTGTCGTATTGTTGATGTGCCTATTGATGCATTATATCATTTTCTTCGATGACATGTAGTATTCGAGGACGCTCGCACTTACCTTTTGATCAGTATATCACTTCAAGGATTCTTCCTCTTCATGGACTCAACAACTGTGAGAAAGTTTATGGTGACAGCTATCCTCATGATGGGATAATACTACTCATATAGATTCAAAAAAAATCGCATAATGCACAATTGCATAAATATCCTTTAGATTTGAACTGTGGCAAGACGTACATATTGCATCTGGTACAGATTGGATATGGAACTTGCATAAAAAGATTTTCACCACCCTCGTACCGTGACTGATTTGATTACTTTGATTTGGTATTGGATTGAAGACTTCATATTCATGATTATCATGTGTTGCTTCGGGCACCGACCGTTTGGGTCGGTGTCATAAGAGTTCAGTCTCTCCATTCCACTTCTCTCCAGCCCACAGCACTGTCCTGGGTTCTATCTCGGCGGCTGGCGCTGTAAAACTTTTTGCAGGTTAGCGCCGCCGTTGGATACGAACCTTACGACAGAGCTTTGGCTGTCCCTTCCTTTCCTTCCTGGGCCGAAGCAGTGGATTGCAGACAGGAGTTCAGTAGAGATTCACTCTCCTATCCCGATCCCCGCTTCGGTGCCTTTCGCTTTTGTGCGTTGGCATCGGGCGGGATCGGGACGGGGGGTGTGTGTGAATCCCCCTACTTTCCTCCTATCTTGCTCATATCCATCGCCCCTCTTGGCTCGGATGACAGGTACTCGATACTTGGAGGTACGTTGGGTAAAACCATCGTCCCTCATCGTCTACCGACGGACACTCGGGGGTGGGGTCGGTCCATTGGTCCTCCTCACCCTCACACAGAGAGCGAGGAGGTCCTCCTCCTCCTCCTCCTCCTCCTCCTCCTCCTCCTCCTCCTCCTCCTCCTCCTCCTCCTCCTCCACATCCTCATCCTCGTCCTCGTCCTCGTCCTCGTCCTCGACCTCCCTCCCCCTTCCAACTCAGGGTGGTGGTGGTGGAAAGCAGGCCCATCAGCGATGGTGAACGAGTTCGTGGCCCTGGACACCTCGCCGGTGTGGACCGAGGCGCCCCGCGGGCCGCCCATCCACTGCCGGCAGAGGCGGCCCACGCCCGGCGGGAAGTGCCACCAGGGCACCTACTGGTGCCCGGGGGCGGCCAAGAGGGCGGTGCTGGCGAGGGCTCAGTCGGGGCTGTCCCTCTGCAGGAGGAATATTCCCAGGAGGGACAAGAACACACAGACACAATCAATCGTCGATTCCCCAGAAAATGTGGGGAAAGATGGGAGGTGGGGTGGAAGACAAAAACCCAGAAAATGTTGGAAAATATGGGGAATCTTTTTATTTGTGTGTATTTATTTAATCGCTTCGCTCATTCCGCCGGCCCATACAGTCTCATGTCTGCCGTTTGCCCGAGGGCCTGGTGTCAATGCGGCGCTTTGGGGGTTCCTGGGGCCGCTTGGGGGACTCCTGGGGCGCTCGGGGGGGCACTTGGGGGGCCTCCTGGGGCCGCTTGGGTGACTCTTGGGGGCCTCCTGAGGGCCTCGTGGGGGCCTCTTGGGGCCTCTTAGGGGCCTCTTGGGGCCTCGTGGGGGCTTAGGGCCGAGGGCTCGAAATGTTGTTTCGTGTTCCCTCTCTGGGGCCCCCTTGGGGGCGTTCTTGGGGCCCTCTTGGACCGTCTTGGAGGCTTCTTGGGCCGTCTTCGAGCCCTCTTGGGCCATCTTGGGGCCCTCTTGGGGGCCTCTTGGGCCGTCTTGGGGCGTCGGGAAGCCGAAAAGGTGGAAGCTCCAAAATCTCTCAAAAACCTAAGGAAAAGCTATGACTTTTGCTTCTTGGGGCCCTTTTGGGAGTGCTCTTGGAGGCCTCTTGGGGCGTCTGGGGGCCATCTTGGGCGTCTTGGAGCGATCATGTGGCATCTCGGAACCCTTGTGTACCATCTTGGGAGCCTCTTGGGGGCATCTGGACCCGTCTTGAGGGTTTCGGGGACGTCTCGGAGCCCTGTTGGTGCGCTCCTGGAGCGCTCCTGGAGCGCTCTGGGGGAGTCTCCCGGGGATCGGTCGGGGATCGCCCGGGGTACTTTTCGTCCGGGGACCCCCAGGGGCCGCCCCGCGCGCGCCCGAACTAGAGATACTGTTAACCAGTTACCGGAGACCTTAGCACGCCTCTGGCCCGTTGGGCCGGCGAATTTGTGTGTCCCAGGGCCCCTTCATATTCAGAAATAGTCAGAAAATCGTATGGGGAGGATTTGTTGTACTCTTTTTGACGATGTGGGTGCATTTTGTTTTTCGATTTTTTTGTTCGCCCAGAATCCGCATGTAGGGGGCATGTCCGGCCTAAGCCAAGAGGGTGGTGCTGATTAGGGGGGGAGATATCACGGCGTGGGCCATGATATTTCTTCAGATCTCATGACGCCTCTTCTTATTTCATTGCGTTCCTGCCCCCCCTTCTGCCCCCCCCCCTCCGGGGCCGCGCACATGCCGCCGGCCATGATTTGCGCCCCCCCCCCCCTCTTGGACGCCCCCTTCTTGGCCGCCCCCGAGGTACGCTGGCAGCAGCGCCAACTTGGTCTCGCCGACATCCATCCCCACGATTGGAGGAAGAAAAAAGCTGCAGAAGCATAGACTTTCGACGGGCCGCGTGGACTTCTGCGATCCGCGCAGGACCCCCATGGCGGCGCCTCTGACGCCGCCCCTGGCGCGCTCCGCGCGCCAGCGAATGGGGTTCCAGCGCGGATCCAAGAAATTCGTACGGACTGTCAAAAGTTTACGTTTGCGTAGTTTTCTGCTCCCCCAACGATGCTCGACTCCATTCAGTGGGACAAGTCGTGCGGAAGCGACTGGAACATCCAGAGCGACGGCAAGCACCGCTCCTACGTGCTGGTCGACCCCCTCCTCTCGGCGAGGGTGCGGGACTCGTCTGGCTCCGTGGCGAGCCGCTTCGTCAGCGCGAGGGATCCGTCCGGGCGCGTGGAGGCGGCCAGGACGGCCACAGACGCTCTGAGGGCGAGGCGGAAGGGCGACGCCGCCGGGAAGGCCGAAGGGGTCCCCGACCTTCCAAGAAGAAAGGATGGCACAACCAGGCATGAGGTCCGCACGGATTTCTGGGGTCGGCGCTGAACCGCTCTTGGCGTCAAGTCGGGCCTGTCCCATCTACAGGAGGATTATCCAAAAATCGTAAAAATCTCCGACGGTAGGAACCCACATGTAATCGAGTTAGCTTGCCCCTCGCATTTCTCTTCGTCTGGCGGGGTTTCCTTCCGCCCTCCGTCCTCCTCCTTCTCCTCCTCCTGTTCCTTCTCGTCCTACTCGTTGCATTTCTGATCCTCTTCCTCTTCCGCCTCCTCCTCCTCCGCCTCCTCAACTTCCTCCCTCTCCTCCTCATGTTCCTCTTCCTTCTCGGCCTTTGCCTTGCCCTCCTCCACCTCCTCCTCCTCCTTTTCCCCCTCCTCATCGCCGCCCCGCTTGTTCCCCTCCTGCACGTCTCTTTCTTCCTGGCAGGAGCGCGCGCGCGTAGAATTTCTTCGGCGCCCTCGCCGCCACGCCTGGCAGGGGCGCATTCTCCGATGGCGAAATCGCGCACCCGTCGGGGACAGCCCCGCTTGCCAGGTCGCTGGGGCAGCCCCGCGAGCCGCTGGCGCGCGAGACCAAACCGTTGGGACAACCCCGCGGGTTCCGAACGGGGCGCCGCCGCGCTCAGGCGGGGGGCAGCACGAAGCCCAGCTCTGTCGCGAGCTGCTCCGCCTCTGCCATGGAACTCCTCCGTTCTGACCGCGAACTCTAGGAGCGCCTTCCGCAAGGATGTTGGCGGCCCTCGCTCCAGGAACTCTCGCGGCGGCAGCCGCGGGATCAGCGTGTTCCGCACGCGCGTGACGCAAGAGAACGTGACGTAGAGGTGCACCCTGCCTCGTCCGACATGCCCGTGCGACCAGCGTCCCCGTCCCTCGCGCAGTCGGTGCTGACACCCTTGCGCAGCGTTTGGCTTTGCGACAGCGTGGAGGCGAGGTACGACGCATGCGTCATGGTGAACCCCGAACGGCGCACGGCGTGCGGCCCCGAGCTGTGCCACGTGAGCTGCTCGCTGGGCCTGAACATGAGCAAGCTCCTCGCCCGCGCCTCGGCCTCGCCGTCGTCGTCGGCGCCTTCGGTGCCCTGTAGCAGCACTTCGGCGACCTCCTAGTAGATCGGAGACTCCTTAAACTTAAAGCCGTGCACCTGCAGCCAGATTTCCTGCAGTAGTTTGCGGGGGCGGCTAAGTTGACCCGGCGAGCTTTCCTCGTACCACTGTTCGCCTTCGGTGTGAAGAGCGAAGGATGCGATGGTGGCCCGTGGCACCTGCGCGAACCCCAACCTTCTCTTCTTCACCTCTTCCTGCACTGCCGTGAATCGCACCTCCATGCTGACGTGGGCCAGTAAGACGCCGTGGATGTCCCCCGTCTTGTGCATGTTCGGAATGTTCAGGAGGTGCCAGCCCGCGTCGGGATCGCCCTGAATCGTACTGCGCTCGTCCACGGCCTGCGAGAAAGCGAGGGGCACGCCCAGACGCCGCGCGTCGGAGCGAACGCGCGTGTTGATCCACTTCGTCAGCGTGTCCCAGTAGATTCCCATGCCGTAGCCGAGCCGAGAGTTCTCGCGCTGGCGCCAAGGGTCCAAGACGCCGTGGTTGTCCGAGGCCAACGTCGTTCTCCCCAGTTGGACCAGACCTCTGGCGGAAAAGGGCTTGCCCTCGCGCGTGCAGCCTTAGAACGTGATCAGAGGGCCTCTGGGCTCGAAGCGCTTCGTGCCTTTTCAGCTCGAAAACGCAAGGGATCTGAGAGAAAGCGTTGATGGCGTGTTGAATTTCCATCGTCGGCGGCTCCGCGTGCTTGTAGGACCCGTCGTCCAGGACCTGGAGCCCGTTCGCGTCCGTCAGAAGGCTGATGCTGCTCGTGGGTTTCAGCTGCAGGAAATCGCCGACGTGCAACACGATGGGGCGCGCCCGAAGTGGTGGCGCGGCCGTTTGTTCGTGGAACGTGTCATTGCGTCCGTGGCGCGCGCGAAAGTCCAGCGCGATGTACAGCGCGGCCGCCACCCGCCTGATACTTCTTCCACATCCAGGCTTCAGGGGCCCAAAACTGACGACAGTTTTGGGGTCCCGATGACCCGCTCGGATTCCAAACGTGAGCGGCGAGCCCCATAAAGGGGGAGGGCTCCCGCATGAGACTTCCTCGCAGTTCACTCACAGACGAGGCTCCCGCCTTATACATCTTCCATATTCGGGGTCCCGATGGCCCGCTCGGATTACAAACGTGAGCGGCGAACCCCATAGGGAGGGGGTTCCCGCTTGAGAGTTCCTCGGAATTTGCTGACAGCTGTCAGTGGTACTTCCTCCTTTCCAGGCCTCAGGGGCCCAAAAGTGTTGACAGTTACATGATCCCGATGACCCGCTCGGATTGAAAACATGATCGGCGGGCCCCATAGGGAGGGGGGTCCCGCTCGAGAGTTCCTCGGGATTCACTGACAGACGAGGATCCCGCATGATACTTCCTTTTTTCCAAGCTTCAGTGGCCCAAACACGTTGACAGTTGTAGGAGTCCGATGACCTGCTCGGGCTGAAAAACATGAGCGGCGGGCCCCATCGGGAATCGGCTCCCGCATGAGACTTCCTCGCAGTTCACTCACAGACGAGGCTCCCGCCATATACTTCTTCCATTTTCAGGCCTCATGGGCCCAAACCGGACGACAACAACAGGATCACGATTACCCACTCGGATTAAACACGTGAGCGGCGGGCCCCATGGGAAGGGGCTCCCGCCTGAGACTTCTTCGCAATTCTTGATTTCCCGCCTGAAATTTCCCGCCTGAGACTTCCCGCCTGGCGCCGGGCCGCCCCCCCTCGTCCCGCCTTAGGCGGCCGCCCTGGGGACCCTCGGCGATCCCCCCTTTTCTCCTGCTGGGAGCCCGCCGGAACGCCCGATACGTGTCGCCGCCGCGTCTGACCCCCACGGCGCTTGCCCAGCCGCCTTGCGCTTTCGGCGCTGCTTGGGCCTGTCCTTTGCCGTACGGCGGCCTTGGGCCCCTCCCTCGGGTCCTCGTCTGCCCTGCGCGGCCTCACCGTCCTGGCCCTGCCCCGGCGTGCGAGGCCGCAGGTCAACTCCTTCGGCCCGAGACGCTGGCCTCCGGGCCTCCCCCCTCGGGGGCCTCCTCGCCGGCGGTCCGCCACCAGTTCCCACCACTCGCCCAGATTGCGGCCAGTAGTCGCTTTCGTCGCCACCGGTATTGGCGCCGCGCATAACCTTGACCTGGAAGTGCGACCGCTAGTCGCCTTCATCGCACTCGCCTCCGCGCACGCCCCGCGGGCGGCCCCTCGGGTTTGCCGCCCTGGCCTCGTGCCCACTGCCGCCTGGCGCGCGCCCAGCGGGGGCTGACGGCCCGCCCCGGGCCTCCCAGGACGCCCTTGTTCTGGGTATCTTGCGACCCTCCGCCCCCGCCGGAGCGACCGCCCGGGGGACCCTCGGCGCTCCCCCCTTCTGTGTCTCCTGCTGCGAGCCCGCCGGAGCGCCCGAGGAGTGCCCCCGCTGCGTCGGATCCCCGCGGCGCCCGCCCTGCCGCCTTGCCCCGCGCTCTAGGCGCTGCAAAAGGGTCTATCCTTTGCCGTGCTGCGGTCGTGGGCCCCTCCCCCGGGTCCCCGTCTGCCCTCTGCGGCCCAATCGTCGTGGCCCTGCCCCAGCGTGCGAGGCCGCAGGGAAACCCCCTTGGCCCAAGCCGCTGGCCTCCGGGCTTCCCCCCTGGGGGTACTCTCCCAGGCGGTTCTCCGTCAGTTCCCGCCTCCCACCCAGCTTGCGACCGTTTGTCGCTCCTCGTCGCCACCGGTGCCTCGTGCCGCGCGTGCTTTTTACAAGAACTGCGAACGCCAGACGCCTTCACCTCGCTTTCTCCGTGCTCCACCAGACCCCGCGCGCGAGGTCGCAGGAAAGCCCTCTCGGCCCAGGGCGCTGGTCTGCAGGCCTCCCCCTCCGTGTGGGTCACTCTCTGGTCGTTCTCCGGCGGTCCGGCCATCGCTTGCCCCGCCTTCCGCCTGCCTCCCCCGCGGCGCTTGCGTGGCCGCTCTGGCCCTGCCCCTTTTACCACCCGGCGCGCGCCCTGCTGGGGTTGTCGGTGCTCGCGGGGCTCCCAGTGCTTCTCCTTTACTGGGCCCCCTTGTGGCCCTTCGCCTCTCGGTGCTGGGCCACCCCCTCTGTGCCCCGCCCGTCGTGGGGCGCTCGGGGCTCCTTTGTCACTCTGCCTTCCCTCCCCGCACGGGGTCGACGGGCACCTGGTCCTCCCCCACCGCGCTGCTCATCCCTGTCTGTCCTACGCTGGGCTTTCCTGTCTCCTGGGCGGCGCGTGCCGCTCGCACCCGCCCTTTCGGCGCCACCCCCTCCTGTCGTCTGGGCCCTCTCGGCACCTTGGCGGCGCGGGCCGCTCGCCCCCGCCTGATGGCCCCCACGGCTTCACTCCCTGCCTCGTTCTACCGTCCTCTGGCCGCTCCCTCTTGCCACCTGCGGCGTGGTCTGTTCGCACCCGCCCGGCTGCCACCCCGGCACCCCTCGGTGTCTGGCGATCAGGATCTACTCTGTCGGGCGCCCGCATCATGCCCAGTCTTTCCTCTGAGACGGTGGCTTGCTGCCTTGCGTTCCGTGTCCTTTGTCCTGCCCTGGGTTTGCCGTGCGTCATGGTGGCGTTTTTTTCGTCTAGGACGTGACTGGCGACCTGAATTACCACCTAGTGCTGCACGTCGCCCAGAAGGATTTCCTGGCGCGCGCTTTCTTGTGAGCTGCGGCGAGGCTCGCCTCCAATTAGCCTTTCCCCTCGTTTGGTCTTGTGTCTCTTTCCGCCCCTCTTTTTCCCTGGGCGCGAATTTAGGCCGCTGCCCGTGTTTATCGCTCCTGGACGCCGCCCGACTTTTCTCGCCGCGGTCGCGACCGAACCAATCCCCACCAGCCCATGTAGAAACGATTGCCAGGTGAGTCGGTGAATCAGGGACGCCTGGGAGCACGCGTTCGGACAGCCTTGTT